ACCTTAGACTCACCACTTGCCGACCTTCTAGAAGGACTAAAGCTAGGCCTCTGGACTCTACTTGGACTCCTACCTTACAGGTCTACAGTTCGAATCTCCCTTGCAGCCTACAACCTACGGCGACCTACTTACCACTGGCTATCGTGCAGGTCACGGGTTCAACTCCAGGGAACTGTGCAGATACTGTACACAGGTAAGCTGAGGTCAAGGGATCGACCCCTGGGATCTGCATCGGCTACTGCCAAAGGTGAAAACTGTTTCATGTGTGGCTTTGTTTAAATATTATGGTGGCACCGTTGCCATTATACAGTATATATAGGATGTGAGTTTCGAGGCAGAAGCTTGAAGGAAAGCATCTTTGTGGCAGGCAATATTTTGCCGTTGACTTGGAGGCGGCTCTACATTGAGCTCATGACACAGGGCCACAGACAGTGGCAGAGATTGTGAACAATGGGACACTTTTCTTAAGGCCCTGCATTCAGGTTCCCCATTTCGCGGCAAACAAAAAGAAGAACCTGCGTGTTTTCTATTTTGGCTGGCACCGCCAGTCATCGGGCTCCGGCCGGTCGTGCTGTGAAAGTCGCAGCGCTTGCACGACCGTGTCTGAGAAAAATGGCTGGAGCACCACTGCACCAGTAACTTTCCCAGCCATTTGGGGAGTATGTAGAGAGAGAGAGAGAGAGAGAGAGAGAGAGAGAGAGAGAGAGAGAGAGAGAGAGAGAGAGAGAGAGAGAATTCACAAGCAGGAGGTTGATTGCAGAGCAGGGCAGGTCGAGAATCCATGAACTTGATTGAAGATTTTGTGCTAAGTAGAGAGAGAGAGAGAGAGAGAGAGAGAGAGTAGGACATGTGATTGCATATACTTCTGAAATTGTAATGTATCACCTCCAAGGCCCTCAAGTCCTCCAACAACGGTATTGCCGCTGAGGTCTTGAACAGCTCCGACAACTGCAGTGCAGCGGTCTGATGAGAAACTTCAGTGGCCTTATCTTTCTCGAGTGTGATTGGGTACCCCTTGGCCTTCCAAACTTCAAAGCTTCCAGTTTGTGAAGACGACACTTTTGGGTTCCTAAAAGACTCGTACTACCTACCTGAGGATGACAGCAGTTTCTGACTTTTTAAGTTTTTATGGATTTATAATTGTTGCATCCGTTGGATAATCTTACCTGACGAATCTACACAAAATTTCAGGAGTATTGCAATCATACCGGAAGGATATTTGCCCGGCAAGACGATAATATTCCGTTGTGGTTTCCAAAAGGAGAGAGATGCGGGTTTGGGAAAGGAACGGAAAATGACATGTATGCTCAAAGAAAACTGTTACATTAGACGCTCGATGCTCAGTTCGTGGAAGACATTGTTCCGGAACGACAAGGACACCAGCAGTAGTTGGTACGGCAGCAGCAAAGAAACATCTTGTCCGAGCAAAAAAGAAACACGCACACACACACACACAAAAAAAAAAAAGAAGGGGGAAAATGTGGCTGTGGCACACTTTTAGTTTGAAATAGGAAAAAAAAAGACAAAAGCGGCGCCGATGTCATCATGGTGTGAGTTTCGAAATGTGCGAGTTTTAATTTTGCAGGGGTCTAAAAACTGCACCAGTCATTACCCCCAGTGGCGCTCTGCGGTTTTAGGGGGGTCGCCTTTTTTTGGCACCATGACATTTCGGCAACAGCTAACGTTTCCTATTCTGAACATCGGGTGTGACTCCAACGCACTTGCCCCCCAAAGAAAACGATGAGGGATAACTCTCAAGCCTGGTCCATACTCAAACCTGGTCCATAGGGCGAGAGAAGCTGGTCGCGGATACGGTCCTCGGAATTGCCATTGCAGTGCATGCCCATTTGAGGTTGGGAACGAAGGGGGAGTCTCGACCATTTGGTACTTCATGAGCTTGAGAAATTTGTCATGCGACTGAAGAGCATTGCCGATAGAGGGTCGTCGATAGAGAGGGCAACCGCCGCAGGTTGTGGACAAAAAGGCTCACTGCGAAGATCCGGCGGCGATCGGAGAGCAGCCTTCAAGACGCGCCTTCGGCCCTCGCGTTCGTCGGAACGTGGTCCATGGGGCGTGGGACCTGGAACTAAATCTGGTTATCAAAACTGTGAATCTGTGTCCATTGGGCTATAGAGAATCTGGGAGTAAACCTGGTCCTCAGAACTGTCATATGTTGTCTACTCAAGTTAGGGATGCCGAGTAAACCTGGTCCATCACGCCTGGGAATTGGGACTAAATCTTGTCCTTGAAGGGACAATAAGACATATTACATAATCCATCGGGCAAGCTAGGAATGCCGAGTAAACCCGCAGCAAACGTGGTCCATTACGCCTGGGAATTGGGACTAAATCTTGCCCTTGAAGGGACAATAATAAATATTACATAATCCATCGGGCAAGCTAGGAATTCCGGATGAACCCGGAGCAAACGTGGTCCATTATGCCTGGGAAATGGGACTAAATCTGGTCCTTGAAGGGACAATAATACGTATTACGTAATCCGTAATCCATCGGGCAAGCTAGGAATGCAGAGTGAACCCGGAGCAAACATGGTCCATTACGCCTGGGAATTGGGACTATATTTGTCCTTGGAAGTGACAATATGTG